TTTGTTGTTTTTTCTTTTCGTATTTGATCTAACAATGGTACAATCCATACAAGTTCTATTTGGTCAAAGAATTCATACAAGTTATAGAACCTTTTTTATTTTTTTAAATGGAAGTGACTATTTGTTGTTGGGGGTGATATGTGAAACAATTAATAGAAGGCCTTAAGATTGTTGGGCTTTTAATGGGCTAGTGTGGCAACTTGAAGCCCAACTCCAAAATTAACAATTTAGTGGCGGCGTCACCTTCAAGAGAGTGAAAGTTAAAAGACGGTCTTGCCTAGGAAGGGCTTGGAGTCTCAGATGCACTATGAGGATCAAAGGCTGGGCCTCCAATATACTATAAGGCTTGCTCACTCTTGTCAGGAGAAATTTTAAGAGACATTATTCTGCCGCCGCCTTCGAGTTTCGCCAGTCGTAAATTAATACTACCAGGAGAAAGGATTAAATGCAATATTTATGACTTTCGTACATTGTAACAGCACGGAATAAACGCTTTACCGTCAAATAATGCACAATTTTATAGATAAGTTAAACCATAATCATCACATTATTTCCTCGATCGACCAGATTAATTCATTGATAATAATTAGACAACACACGATCCCTTAATAAATTAACCAACCACAGGAGATCTCGCAGACGTTGGGTAGTGATGATCTATACTTGCCCAAGCCCCGTTTTCTAAAACATTTCACTTAAATCTTTTTATCATGTGATGCCAGATAACTAATTTGTTAAAAAAAACCATTAATTTACTCTTAAATATGGCGTGGCCACAACTGTGCCGCCTCACAGTCATTATACTGTCTTAAATCTTAAATACAAGATACTACCTCCGGTCTTTAATATAAGACCCTGTTTGACTTTTATTTTGGTCCTAAATATAAGACCCCAATTCACTTTGTCTCTTATATTTATACATTTTTTCCAAAGTAACCCTTCTAACAATGATAGTTTTAGTCAATATACTTGATTAGCAAGGATATTTTAGGAAAAACAACAACTATTTAGAACAAATAACTAACTCAACTTACTTCCTTAATCTTCTCAAATTAGTCTACTGGCTCTTATAATTAGGACCAGAGGTAGTATAGAAAAGAGGGTTGAAGTTGATCTTATGTAATTGTTATGTTATACTATCTGGTTATAATTTGATCTTATATAAAGGTTATATTATCTTATAAAACTAGTTGTTAACAGACATTGCCTAGGTTATCAACAGCTTTCTTTGGGTTATTAATACTCACTGTTGAGGTTGTTAATGGATCTTTGCATTAAAATTTTGTTATAATCCTATTAGGTTTGGTTAAAGTTCTTAATGGTTTCAAAAAGCTTCCAATTTCAGTGTTAAAAATTATTATATTATACTGTTTGGTTATAATTTGCCCTTTTTTGGAGGTTATATAATTCTATAAATTAAGTTATCAGCGGATACTGTTTGGGTTGTTAACACATTCTTATTTGGTTGTTAATAATCACTGCTGAGATTATTAATCGTAATGGCAGAGAAAATGAGAATTAGGAATCTAAGGAGTAGTGATGTCATTTTATAATTAGAATAAAATACTCTAAAGTCTTTTTAGACCTGCTAGTAATTTTGACATTTTGTGAGACTTTAAGTGAATAAAATCTTTTTTTGGGAGCTATACGTAATTTTTCCCATTAATTATTTATTTGCCATTTGTAAGCCGATGCATTGCATTGATCCCTCCCTGTCTCTCTCTCTCTTATGTGGGACACATAAAATACTTTCCCTTTCTAAACAACTTGTTTTATAGATTTGGGTCTCCATATTGATTACATAAGCAATGCTGCATCATGCTCAAATAAACTATTGTAAAACATCGATCGAGACATGTATCCTAAAAGAAAAATACTCATAAATTCTTAATATAAGACTTAATTAACTAATTTGAGTAGATTAAAGATATTAGTTAAATTAGTTAATATTATATGTTCTTTTTAAAATATCTTAATTATTTTTCTTAATTCCCTCATTCTCTCTCATACTTGATTATTATTGGAGGAATACTAATAAGATTAATTTCAGAAAAAATTTATAAATATGTGAAATATATCTTATATATATGACTAACATTAACTCTTTAATTAAGTCCTATATTAAAAACGGAGGAGTATTGTTTATTAATCTCAGCCACCAAAAATCTTTAGTTGAGACGATTAATTAATCATCATCACCCTAATCATAGATGAGACTCAACCTTAATTAGCAAATTCTATACGCGTTAGGTGAACCTCCGCCGCATTAGTTCCGTACAACTTCACAAGTAAGCAATAGGTGATCGCGGTTTGTAAATAATGCAATTTGTTAGTGTCTTATAGATTTTGTGTTACATATATTAATATATTGATATGTTGAAGATATCTGATCTCGAGATAAGTGGCTGAAAAGAAAATCATTCATTTGCGTAGGATCAACTTGGGAGCACTTTTTTGTTTTTTTAATGCCACAAAATCAATGAAATTAACTGCTCCCGGCAGCCAAACGAACTAAAACAACTAATGATCACAAAAACGTAATAATAAATAAAGTCGTACCAAAGAATCTTCGATCAATCTTACCTAGCTAGCAAGTGAAAATAAATTAGAATGATGTATCGTGTCTCTGTCATTCATGAAAGGACAAGGCCCTGGTTTATGGAATCTCAAAGCCTGCGGTGACTGTTACAAATATAAAGAGCGAGAATGGAGAGATTGTGGCAAGGGAAAGGGTAGGAACAAGAAGCGTGTGTCCCTGTCATCTCAATTATTTGCAAAAGGTATGGGGCATAGGGTGATTCATGTGAATGATAATGAATTGAACTATTAATGATTGAACTATTCTATCCTACAAGACGTAGCAGGGAATTAGAGATCCAAGAAAATCCAAGGAAAATTCCTACAACTAGCATCTCCTATGCATTATATAAAGTGACTCCAAAACACCAGACTGAGTCAAAGCACAGGATTATATGGGCAAATCAATGGCAAACCTGCAAATCAAAGCCCCCATTAAGAAACTGTGGCAGGGGATACCCAGGCTTGAAGAAGGCCGAAAACAGATTTTGGGATTCTGAGAATAGCGGCTTCGATGCATAAAAGGGGCAAAAGAAACGCTACAAAGGAGGACATACAGATTTTGATTAATGTTCCTTCTGTTCTTTTTTCCAGTCAAATACAATTTTTTTTTAATAATTGTATGAAATATAAGATAAGTCATTATTTTTGGACGAAGAGATGAGTTATATTATGCATTATCTATTGTCCATATGATTTATTATAGTTTTTTTATTTATTTTATATTAATTAGATTGTAGGTAATATGCTTTGCAAAGATTCTAAAATAAGCCATAATATTGTTAGGTGTTGATATTAATAATATATTAATATCGGTGCCGATCTTCTTTTTTTAACAACATCTGGAAAAAAAATATTTTTTCTATATCATACATTTTGACAGAAGACCAAGTATTTGGGTGAAAGTCAAAGAGAAAAAAGGAAAGAAAGAGAGAAAGAGAGAGAACAGAATAATAATAGGGGAGGATAAAGAGGCAGCGAACAAAGAGAGATACAGAAACAGAAGAACAGAATAATGTTGAGACATGGCTTTCATTTTCAAAGAAAGGAACGTAAAACAGAAGCTGAAAGGTAAGAGGCAAAACAGGTATCGTCACACACGTATGGGTCCAAGGCTTTGTTGCACTGCATTGGGGAAGGATTTGGTCAAAATCATCTCCCAAAGTTGACCGGCCCCGCCGCTTTGGAATCTGACCCACCTCATTTTATTTTATTATATGCCATTCCTTCTTTATCTGACCTGTCAATTTTTCTTCTTTTTTCGCTTTAATTTCCTCAAACCTCCTCAATTCCCATAGCACATTGTACATATAGCTCCTCACTTAAAATTTCAATCACCTCAATTTAATCTCTATTTTATAATATAATTTACATTATAAAATTATTCTTATATTTAAAATCAAAAGAGTATTTCTCAGAGTCATGGTTCATTCTTTTTTTTATTTGAGGAGCAAGAAGTGACATTTAAAAATAAACAGATGGAGAAAGCGAGAAGCAAACAAAACCTACTACATCCGTGGTCGGGCATATAGTAATATAAATTATAACAGGCAAGTTGGGCCCACGAAGGTGATGGCTGCTGCTGCTGCTGCACCAGATATATAATACGTGTGTGTATGCATAACGCTGTGCGTGGATGAATGCCTATCTTTTAAATGAAATGCCGTACAAGTTGGGAGGAGAAAGTGATGGGAAAAGGGATTACGCGAAAACGATGGGTTCCGTTTATCTATTTACGTGTGTCAGGTTCATGCATGTTTCCAGGTTTCCAACTCACCCACCAGATCAAAAATTTTACTTGCCAATCATACTAATGTTGGTCATGGTAATTCTCTGGTGCCTTTAAAACACCTGCACTTTATTTCATCAGAGCATAGTTACCACTGGTTATTATAGTTAAAAAAAAAATTTAACAACTAATAAGAGTAATGCTATCCCATATGGCTGTTTCCTCAAAAAATTATCTCGTTAGTGATTAATAAACAAAAATCAGAATTAATTTCAAAGTCCATCTAGTGACAAAAACGAAAGATACAACTCTCCAGAAACTTGTCAATCGTCATCAATATTCTTCATTGATAATCATGTGTTTGAGAGATCTACAGGTCATCAAAATAATCATGGGTTCCTATATTTTTTTTCCTTTTTGGCGGAGGGGCAAAGTTAAGTTTTGACCGACACTAACTTTCAAACACAGCGCAGAAACTAGATTTTGCTGTCCGGAGAAATAATTTTTAGATGAATAAACAATAAACTTGGAAACTTCCTCGTCAAAGTAGGATTTTGCTGTTAGCTATTCAATCCTCTTATCCATATTCCTGAACTAAGTTTCCCATTCCCAATTTTCTGATTATATGGATTGTGCCCGAACAAGCATGCGTGTTTCAGGTTTATGAAAACACACACATGATGAAGCACGCGGATAACAAAGGAACTAAATCTGTATACCATTTTCCTTATGAAAAGTTGTGTGTGTAACATTCTCTACGCTGAAATATGCGGGGGGAGGTGGGGGTCAGAGTGATGTGTGCTAACTCTAACAAGAATGAGAATGAACATGACAATTTTGATTCCGGTTTTTAACTTACAGCCTATGCTTGTCCTCACAGCACAGGACCTAGCTTCTCTGCATCAGGATTCTCCTTAGTTCGCTGGCAATTCCTTGCATCAAAATTGGCTTCCGGATGACTCCATTAATGCCGGTTTGGACACATCTTTCCCACAGGTCATCATCTGCAGTCGCAGTCAAAGCAACGATCACGGGCCAGTTTCGGCTTCTATACTTGCGAATCCTAGTGGCAACTTCAAAGCCATCTAACTCAGGCATATGAAGATCCAAAAGAATGACTTGTATAGAAGATCCAGCCGGTCCAATGACAGCGAGGCACTCAAAGCCTGAAGAAACAGAAGTTACCACGCAACCAAGCTTCTGGAGCAATTTTTGGGTCACGGCTCTATTTACATCATCATTGTCGGCCAACAAGACATGCATGCCTCGGAACAAAGAATTAGAATCTGTACGCTCTGAAGATTCTCCTGGTTCAGCGATGGATATAGCTATTGAAGATCGCAATTGAAACCGAAGAAGAAGGACCATGCTTTGAGGAAAACCTTGCGTATTTGGTACTAACCATATATTCCCTTGCATCATCTGCCAATAATATAACACGGAAAAAAATTACAAAACCAAGAGGAGAAAAATATTGCAACACAGCAACTGCTGGCTAACAATTCCAAGAGGTATACCCATAAAACAAATCTGAAAATCTTCCAACAAATCCAAGCCAAAACAATCAAAAGCATATCAAAATATAGCACAAGACATTGTGATCTAGAGCACAACTCTCATAGAAAGGAAGAACCAGGCCCAAAATTCTACCATGAGCGGACGAACTAATCAAGGACGTTAAAAAGACAAATAAAGTCAAGCTACTGAATATGCAAGCCAAAGTACTCAATTGGGCCTTACCCTTCTAATCCCAGGTCTGCTTCCAAAACATTTCAAATATGTTCTGAAGATTACAGCATTGGTTCAAATATATGGCAAACCAATGTAATTACCATGTGCAATAAGATGTTACTTTTTATTTATAAGAAATACCAGTTTATGATCCTCACCTGAACTATCCTCTTGCAGACGCTGAAGCTCAGTCTGCCCTCAACTCTATCACTGCTACTGGCTAGCTTCCTACCACCAAGCTGTCCTGTAGAAACTGAGTTCTCCAATTCAGAATTGCTGGTTTTGATCCCTATCTCAAATCTAATATGTACATCCCCACTAGACGAACTTGGTCTCCAGGTTGTCCGCTCCTGTTCATTCCTTCCCTGACTTCCACTTTCTGCAATCACCCGAAGTATAAGAACCCCTCCCCCATGGTTACCATCCAGCAGGTTCCCAACCATATGCAAAATCACCTGAAATACCCTCCTCTCATCACCCAAGACATTGTCGGGCAAAGACCTGTCAACCTCTACCGTAAAACCAAAACCCTTATAAACACACATGCACTTGGCAAGGCAAGCTGCCTCTTTTATCAAGGCATGTAAGCCAAAAGATCTCATCTCCAAAGGAAACCTTCCGTCATCCTTTGCTGAAATATCCATAGCATCATTAATCAGGTTCGAAAGAACATTACTGCTCCTGAGCATTGCATCCACAATGAGTTTTTGTTCACTCTTTAAGTTATCATCTCCCATCATTGACAGCAAGCCCAAAATTGAGTGCATTGGCCTTCTCATTCCATCGCCCATGACCTTCTGAAATGAGTTTCTCGCCTGACTTGCCATCATCGCATTCCTTTTTGCTTGTTGCAAAGCTCGGTTTTGCTCCTCCAACTTCTCTCTCATAAGTTGGGACTCTTCAAGAATTGCAGCATGAGATAGAGCTACAGCTACCTGATCAGCTACCACCTTAATAATCTCTAGCTCATAATCGCTCCAAGATCTAGGCTCTCCGCCAGGAAGAATTAAAACCAGTATTGCATAGCAGGTCTCAGTTAGTTCAGGTGTCCCCCCTTTGAAGTTGCAAACCCGAAGCATAGGCATTCGAATTGCAGCTACGGGTCCTGTCCCACCTGAAACTCCGCTGCTGGCGGCAGCAAGCGCTGAGTCAGGGCTAAGAATATTTACGCCATCACTTCCTTTGATTTCTACAACATCTGGATCAGTAATAGGTACAGAGAAATTTAGATTCCTCCCATTTAATTCACGAGTCAGGTTCATTTCTGTTTTACCATCATTAGGCATCCAAACTGCACAATTCTGCAAACCCAGCGTTTTAGACAGCTCAACCAGGGTGGTGTCCAGAATTGTATGCCTATCAAGTGACTTACGAATCTCTTGAGTAAGCATTCTTACATGCATTGCAGCCTCCCTTTGTTTCATTATAAAACCGACCTCTCGCCCGAGATCCCAAGTCTTCTTCTTCAGCATGAATTCTCTGACCTTCACTTTGAGAAGCAAGGGAATCAGAGTGATGAGGGTGATGGCAGTGGCACATGATACCAAGGCAGTGAGAATTTTGAAGACAGTAAGTGCCACCATGAGTTGGAATGAGTGGGGACCATAAGTCCAGCCATTCAGCATATGTGTCAATCCACATAGTACAATGAAGGCAATGAATTCAAAAAGCACCCATTTGAATGGGACGTTGGAGCAACTAATAAAATAAAGCAGTTCTATTGGGATGGAAAAATAGGCCACAGCAATCAGGAAGTCACCGACTCTCTGGCATTCCAGAATGCTCTCAATTGTCCACAGGCTGGCCTCATCATCACAGTTACATCTGGGAAATCCATTATCCGATGCAGACACACATATAAGGAGCGAGAAAATCAACAGTCCAGATGCTACCCTTTTTAACATTGATCCAGGACGTTACTTCTTCAGTCCATCTATAGATAAAAAAATCCACCCGTCCCTCGCCCCAGCTAATAACGAAGTTAGACAGCACAAGAAAGGCCTTCAGCAATTTTTACTTCCAACTCCCAGCCCTCAATTTTCATGTCCTGCGACAAAAATGTCGAAACAAAATTTAGAACTAGGATAGATCCGACCTAATATGAACATAAACAATGAGAAACCCAACAATACAGTCATCTTAAAAAAAAATCTTTCACCAAATTATGTGATCCGAACTATTTCCATTATGTGGTTTCAGCTCCAACCTTCATCCAATCTACAAAGAGTTTAGGTGGAAGGGGAAGAATTGGAGCATCAACAGTGACCACTGAAGAGGGCATATTTCTCAATCAAAATAACATTTTAAGAATAACTATAAAGAAATACAACAGCTAAATAATCTAAGCTATGCTACCCCTATCGACCATCGCAAGGGAAGCGAAGCCAAAAAAATAATTAAAAAGAAAAACGAAACCCACCAACCTTCACCGTCCAAAAAAAATCCAGCAATGCAAACTAAAATTGAAATTTTACCTGCAAAAAAACACCACTGTAGAGAAGAAACCCCAATTGCAATTCAATGTTCAACTCTCATCTCAGATCTTAACCTCAACCGCGAGAGACTTGACGCTGCTCAAGATACGTCCCAAACAACCATGAATCCATCTCCAACTCATTCAGCATCAAACACTCCTCCACTGATCAATACTGCATATCAAACAGTAATTGCTGCGAGTGCAACCCTCTGACCACCTCCATTGGGAAGAACAGAAACGAACCCTGCTTAGTCAAGCAAATTAAAGAATCAATTAAAAACAACCCGGCTAATGGGAACAAACCCAGCAAACTGTCGCCTTGTAAATCGATGCAAAAGACGCAGGGACGAGAACCTGGGCACGTCCCTTTCGATTAGAAGTCTTGGTCGGCTGATCTTTATATCAAACCCCGCAGCTAGGCCACAACCAGAAGGAAGAAAGCAAAGAGTAATTTGCAGCAAACTGTTGATTCCTATCTTTATTTTAAGATTTCTAATTTTCTATGCTTCGGTGTATGTATTTTCCAATGCCAAACAAAAACCATAAATAGAAAGGAGAAAACGAGAGGAAAAGAGAGAGAGCGCCGTTGTTTCGTGGGAGGGAGGGAGGGAGGAAGTTGGAAATGGAAAATAGAGGACGGAAGAGAGAGAGAGAAAGAGACAAAGGAAGAGGAAGGAGGAAGAGGGCCCACATTGTTACATGAAGGGAACTTAGACGCTCTTTTGAACCAAAACGTCCTGGTCACACCCAAAAAGATTTGTTTTATTTTCTCTCAGACGTTTCTTTCTATTATTTTTTTTTTCTTTCTAAGCAATTATAAAATTCCTTCAATTCCATGTTCAATGTTCGATCTTCTCGTGTCAGATACTCTCTCTCTCACTCGCATACACTAAATTATGTTCTTTTCAAATTTAAAATTGGCTGCCACGTGTGGCATGGATCATCTATCAAGTGATTGTGAAATTTTTGGATCAACGAATACACGCGGATGAAATTGCAATTTGTCTTTTATATACACTAAACACTTGCAAAATTTTCGTTAAAATTAATTATAATAAATATACGATTGATCATAATTTTAACATTATATTTTTCTGATATTTATATTAAAAAATAACTTGGTTGTTGGTATGATTAGTTCCTTCTTGGTTTGATAAATAAGTTTCAGATGCCATGCTTGAAGATTAAAAATTCTGTAGATTTAAATTAAAAAACATGTGTGGGAAATAATTTTTATTATTATACTAGTATTTTATTTTTAGTATATCTTCATAAATAAGAACTTTAAATATAATAATGAATGACAAGCTTGTATTCAAAAAGTATGCCACGTCATAGAAAAGCCCAATATTTCAATTCCGAAGCCCCAATTCTGGTAGACATTGGCCGAAAGGGTCTAGGTGGTCCAATAACCACCATGTGCCTAATCATGAATAAATGTTTATAATTTATAATATATCAATAAAATTTACAACAATAGGATTCCTCAGACAATACATGACGCCATTTCAATTTTAGATTTCACACAATTCAGGGAAAAAAATTCCTGCATAATCAGGATGGAAGGAAAATAGAAGAAACTCAAATTTTTATTCAAATCCCACTCAGAATTTAAAAGAACACGAATCGATTGGTTGATAAAAATGACAAAGCAACGATCATATTAACAATTAACAAATAGTAGTGAAATAATACTGTTTGTCCATCATATATACTCATATATAACATGCGGCTTTATATAAGAAGAAAATAACGTAATAACAAATAATTAAGAAAATGATCGTGCTTGTATGCAGTGTCAACCTTTGTTTCGTGTGTTTTTAGGAATCATAGAGAAGGGAACGAGTGGTGAAGGGTTAACTAGAGTTTGTTGGGGTTATTAAGAGAGTTAATTAAGAAAAGTACAGTGAGTTAATTATTGTGAGATGGGTAATTAATTAAGAAGAAGAAAAGGGTTTGGTGAGTAAGTGATGAGGGAGCGTGCATGGATGGATGTACGTATAGGACACCCCACCTAGTGTTTGGGCAACACGCTGTCTTCAAGACGTGATCATACCCATCTCTTTTTTAATTTTGTCAACTCATGCCTTGCTCCCTTGCCGGCTCGGATGTTCACCCACCTCTATAACACTGCCTCTACATATAAACCATCAAGTCATTTATAATATATTTAATCTTCATTTTTGTTAATTTTTGTTGAGAAGAGAGAAAAATGAAGGTATGTAACAACCATTTGTAAATGCAAAGCAAAAGAAAATACTAATAGGGATAAGATTGAACAATTTTGTCAATTTAATTAATACATTTTTTTAGTATGTTATAACATTTTACGAGTGACTTGTATTAAAAAGTAGAGTAGAGTACTATTACCCACTAAAACCATGTTTTTAATAGAATGTGTGGTATTTTCAGAGAAGATATTGCAAGGGAGAGAGGGAAACAAGGTTCATAAAATGCGTCAGTTTTCGAACATCACTAAGAAATATTTAACACGTGCATTAGCACTGTTTCAATACAAAAGTAGGAGGTTAATTTTTTTCAATTGTTATTTATAATTTATAATTTATAAAATTATCATTACTATTTTTTGACTTACCGTTCATTCTTAAAATTATGAATATTGACCTTTTCTTATAATATTTAAAGCGAAACTATTATTTGAAAAAAAAAAAAAAAAGAGTGATGAGTTAATATTAGAGATTTTGTTTCACATGAAAAAGGGTAAAATAATCAAATTGTTTCATGACTCAAAATAAAACTGGCAACTCATTTTTTTGGCTTTATAGACTCACTTCTACACTCAAAGGAAAAAAATTATTTTTCTTCTTCCATGCACGTAATATTAACCCCACCAGTGATTTGGCACGTGCACGTAAAAGTTAATGCTCGCTTTTAAATAATGGTTAATTAATTTTTTGGACGAAAATAGTGATAATCTCCATTAACATCACAATATTTTACAGAACGTACATGCACAAATCACCCAATCTAATTATTCATATTTAATTTTAATCACTGTCTAAACTAAGCTAACATGTATTGACCAGAGACAAGGGTGAATTACTTTTAGATATTGATGATAGGTATGTCATCTTTTATTATTAAGGATTTTTTTGGGTTAACAATTATAAACACTTATAAGCATGTTTCATGTATGTTGGGACAAAAACTATTTTTACATATTTACCTCATATTTTATAAATCACGATTAAAAAGCTATTTAGGTTGACAATCATTAGCATTTATAAATATGTTTTACGTATATTGGGACAAAATTACTTTCATATACTTTTCTTGTATTTCATAAATCACGGTTGAAAAGAATGAGTCCTAAATAATATGACGTTTTATAACACTATGCGTGAATTATTTATATGATATTATAAATGATTTTGTTCATAATTCAAACGATGATTTTTTTTTGTTTGGGTACAGTGATAATAATTTTACGATGACGCCATAGGCCATTGAGAGGTCAATTGGCGTGATGGGTAGACCAAACAATGCCGTAATTATGACAAATAGAACTTTGGCGGATATTTTTGCAAATGGGTCAAAATTCAACGTATTGTTTCTCATTTAATCATTTTCTATGGGGCAGCGCAAAGAAGTAAACAAAACAAAAAAGCAGAGGCCGGCAAAAAAAAAAGGGTAAAGATCGTCATGAATACATAACGAGATTTATGTGATAATTGCGCGTTATTACATTTCTGTAAATCTATATAAAAGTCTCCGTTCACCAAAGGAAAAGGAGAAAGAAAGAAGGGGGTGGGGGGAGACTTTTCCATATAAAAATGGACAGGCAATTCACATTTTTTTAAATTTACACATAAGATGAGAAAGTATGGTAAATAAATAATAGAAATACGTGTCAAAATGAAAAATTAAATAATCGTAAATTATTTTTTTTGCCAAAAAATTATTTTGATTTAAATAGCTCATGGTTTGAGTTTTAATATCCAGATTTTTTTATTATTTGATTTTGAAAATAACAAAAATTTAATAGCCCTGAGATTATAGAGGGGGGCCGGGGGGAGACTTTGCCATGTGAAAGGGACAGGCAATTCACATTTTTTTAAATTTACACATAAAATGAGAAGGTATGGTAGATAAATAATAGGAATACGTGTCAAAAATGAAAAATTGAATAATGGTGAATTATTTTGACTTTTTGTCGGAAAATTATTTTGATTTAAATAGCTCATGGTTTGAGTTTTAATATCTAGATTTTTTTATTTGATTTTGAAAATAAAAAAATTTAATACTCCAGAGAGAGTCATATAAGGATGATAAATTAAAATAATTTTCAGGTATTTCATATAAAATTATAACTTTTGGTACTGTACACAACACAAACAAGTTAAATTCGGAAAATTAGATATGTTTTCTTATATATTATAGAGATTTTTTAAATTAGGACATGATATTATTTACGATGCGGGAATATTTTTATCCTTTTTGTTGCCAAGGGTGCGGGAATATTTTGAGCTGACGTAAATTTTGTATTTTAAACATACGAAATTAATATTCCTCAGAGTTATTGCACTTCTATTATTGACGTGGACACTTGATCTAAATTTGTGGTTATCGATAAAATGCGGAACCCGTCAATTTGACATTTGAGGTATTTAGAGGATGACATGATTGTCAATTCAAATATTAGAGTCAGAGAAATAATTAATCATGTAGAAAGAAGAAAATCCAATTCAGTCATGTGTTGTAAAAGCACGTACCCATAATTCTCCGCTTAAAATATGATTAATAACTATTAGGTTTTGCAGTAATCTGCTAATGCATAAAACAACAAACTCAAAATATTAATAAATTATTTAAAACCTGGATATATTGGTTAGTAGTGAAAATTTGCTTGGATTGGTATTTTCTTTTTAAAATTTATAAGAAAGACATATTATATCCCGCATACTCAACACTAATTTTCCTGTATTTTACGATGTGCAGTATTTAGTTCGAAAGGAAATATATATCTATCGTTTGTGGTAGTGACTAATCCACTCATATTATAGATTTCTTAAAAGGATTTTAATATTGGCCATGAGACTCTCTTCACACACACGGCCATTAACATTCAGAGGGAAATATTGTCATGTGGTTATCCATTTTCTTGAATGAAAGATTGGGATCAATTAAATAAAACTGGAGGGGACAAACAAAACAAGAGAAAAGACCTAAAATCACATATAAAGAAAAATTTATTATAAATCATGATTAAATAATATATAGTGAGACGTGCAGATCCATAATAAATAAATATTAGTATTCTTAATTAAATCGAAAATTTGAAAGAAACAAAAAGAGAGAGAGTGTGTAAACTCCTCTAGTAATAAAGGAATGTCTATATATAAAATAAAATTAATCCCTATATATTTTATGGGTAAAGCAATATCCATGGTCCTGATTTTATTTTTCATATGCTTTCAGCATCTGATGTTATTTTGTTAATTATATTCAACGGACTAATCTCATTTATGATTTAGAATATGAATGCACTGCAAACAATATTATAATGATAAAAGCACCCAGAAATAATATCAGGATGTACTATTTGCTTGCGTACTTCCTTATTGGCTAAA